AAAAAAAGAAGTTTGTGTCCATTTGTCTCGGTCATCTTGGCCCCGAACACCTGGTCCCGCCACAGCTTTTCCCAATCTAATTCTGGTCCAAAACAAGCCTCCCACGGTCGCACTTTGGGTGCCAGACGCCGCGTCTGAATGTCCCGCCACGGCTTTTCCCAATCTAATTCTCCAAAACGAGCCTCCCATGGTCGCACTTTGGGCGCCTAACGCCGCCTCTGAATCCCTAGAAAAAAAGAAGTTTGTTTCCATTTGTCTCGGTCATCGTGGCCCCGAACATCCAAAACGAGCCTCCCATGGTCGCACTTTGGGTGCCAAACGCCGCCTCTGAATCCCTAGACCTAGAAAAAGACAAGTTTGTGTCCATTTGTCTCGGTCATCCTGGCCCCGAACACCTGGTCCCGCCACGGCTTTTCCCAATCTAATTCTGGTCCAAAACGAGCCTCCCATGGTCGCACTTGAATGACGTACACCGGCGCTGCCAGGCTAAAGGCTGCGGTGTCGGAGTGCCGCGAACGTACCAATCCAGGGAGGGTTGAGGGGTTTGAAGGGTTTGAGGGGTTTGAGGCGTTTGAGGGGTTTTGAGGCCTGGTAAACGACACAATCTATTTCCACCAAAAACTACTCCAAAACAGACTCAACTGCTCGCACATTCGGGGCCAAACGTTGCGTCTGGATCCCTAGAAAAAAAAACTAGTACATTCTGGCCCATCCGTACCCTGTGAACCTGAGCACCGGCACAGACCTTGCCACAAGAGATTCACAGGCACCGGCATCCATGGTGAGCACTCCCACACCTGTAATCCCTGGCGCGCTCCCCCTTTCTTCAGCCGGGGTCGGCGGATAGTGGCTTCCAGCATCCACGGCGTTAGGCCTCAGCCCAGGTGGGTCCTTTTTACCACTGCGAACTTCCCCGACGTGATGATTCAGTCCTACACTGAGACCCGCGCCTCCTTCTTTTTCTTCTTCGTGTGCCCTTGACTTCACTTGGCTTGATATGACAGGATGAGCGCTCATTTAGATAGGTTGTCCCCAAGAAAGAAGAATGGGGCCACCCAAGACTAACAAAATGGTCCAGCATTTCTAGCTTGCATCCAGTTGCAACATTCTATTCAGTTGTGTGGAGGATCAGGATCTATCTATGATCTATGTTAAATTCGCTAGGTACCTGGTCATTTGCCTTTACTTGCTGCAAAACGTGCTCCTCGCTGCGGTGTATGATGCCTACAAGGCTCACAACATTCCAGCAAACTCCTTGCAGTTGTAGTGACATGCCGAGAGCTGGGATGATTCCACCACGGGATGTCAAACGAAATTGATTGAAGTGTGTGGAAGACAGACGGGGGACCGGTTTGCTTCTGATAGGACCAACTGAAGCGGCAATTGTGTAAGTTTCTTGATTTGATGCTTGGATGAAGCCACTTCAGAGATTCTCTTGATATGTGTTGACTGTGACAGAAGCACTCTGTGGTAGAAGTTCTGCTTGGAGCACCAGTGTGTTTCCCTCAAAAAGGGAGAGGATGATGAGACAGATGTGGGGGAGATGTGAAGCTTGAGGGGGTTGAGAATCATGCTAGGCCCTAGGATGTCCTAGGCCCGTGAGCGCTTTTTGATTTTTTGGACTTTGTTAGGCTTGTTTCAGCTGAGGAAAACGTATTCGATCAAGCAGGCCTTTGAGGTCTTAGCCTTGAAGTCTGCAATAGGGGTCCCGGTGATCACGCTGGAGAGGCCGGGCTGAGATTCATGGGCCCGTGGGATCGGTGTTTTAGCCCACTCACTCCTACTTATATGTTTTCTTTAGGCCGCTAGGAGGTAGGTAGGTAGGTAGCAGGATAGCTAGTAGCTAGCTAGTAGGAGCTTTTTCGCGCGCGCGGGGGGTAGGCCGCGACTCGTACCTACAGGTAGCTACTACTACTTAGGATACAGGATAGCTCGCGCTTCTTCAAGGAAACTCCCCCCGCTGCCCTGGCGGGAAGCTTCCTTGAAGAAGCGCTCGCACTAATGATTTGGTGACTAGATTTGGGTGGAAAACTTAAGGAGTTTTTGCCCACTCCTACTTAATTAAGTAGGCGCCTGCCTAGCTAGGACGGATAGCGCTCGCACCTATGACATACTGTAATGGTTCCTAGATTACTTAACACATGGACCGCTGGGATCGTGCACAGCCCGCGTGGCAGCTTTCTCTGAGGTGGGTTGATTTCTACACTGCTTATGGCCAGATGCTTTGCGACAAATGTTAATAGGGACCATGAGGTGGCGTAGGGGCTGTGCCGGGAAAGTTTCAGTGATAGACTGAGATGAGATTGGTGCACCTCGCAGATGAAAGAGCATTGAGAATGAATAACTTGTGGTGGTTTATGCTCAAGTCGTTTGTGCCCTTTGTCAGTACAGAAGCGGCACGCTGGCATTGTTTGCCCAGGATTTTCCTTCACTTCATGTTCGAGAAGGACAAAGTGCCTTGCCCAAATGCCACTAAATGATGGGTTGTTTTCAACATGCTGGAACCACTGGATCCCAAGGCGTATGTGCAACAGCAGGCCCACCGAACCTTCAAAGCTATGGACGCTGATGGCAATGGCTACATCGAGCAAAAAGAGTTCTGCATGGTTGTGGAGGCGGGATTTGCTTCGTCAAGAAATGTCTTTCGGGTAGGTGTGGCATGGCCAACACTGTGTCAGAGGTTTGTTATTGGTTCTGTCTTTTGCACCTGAAATCGCTTCCCTACCTGCCCCACGTTCACTACGAAACGGTGAGCCATTTTGCCACGGCTCGAGGTGCTCTCCAACCCCAGGATCTACATCCCCATGCGGCCGGTTCCCAGTATGGCGCGCAGCCGCTTGGGCAAAGGCTTGGTGCACCTCTTCATGAGTGGGGTGAGGCTGGGGATACCAACTTGCAACAACTCGTTGCAACTCCCAACATGAAACAATTGTTTCATTTGTTGAATCGTACCTGTAAAGAGACACTGATTGATCAGTGGCAGGGTGGCGGACTCTCGATATTCTTGGCGCGCCATTATGGACATTGCCACTTGGTGTTTTGACATCTAGTGACTCTAGTGGATATTTTTGTTGGGTTTTGTTCATTCTTGCTTCCACGCCGCCTGATTTCTGACATTTTTGCGTAGCTGGTGGAAACATGGTGCATAGACTGCCCCTGCTTTGAATACCTCTGAAGAAATTGAACTGCAGATGCACGCCTATGCTTCGAGAACCCCCACAAGAACTCAGAATGTGGATGTAGGCCTTCTTCTCTTCAAGTTTGAGACATCCCGAGTTCCGACTAGAATTTTTGTCTTACAAAAAGTGTTTTGCATTTGCGCGCTGCTTGAGGTAGTTTTGATCGAAGTGTTGCTTGCACTGGGTCAGACAATTGTCTTTGTCTCGCCGCGCCACTTGCCTTTTCTTTGGAAACGGTCGCAAGCCATGGAGGATATGATGGGCAAGAAGTTCTCCCGTCAACAACGAACACCTGTTCTTTGTGGTGGCAACTGCTGGCACCTGGTGTCCAGTTCCAAAATAATGCACTCATAGGGTAAGTATGATATGAATATATGCTCTTTTGATGTGCTTGGTAGAGGCAATAGGCATTTCATTCCAACGCATTCGTTATATTGCGCCCCAGGCTGGGGTGGCAAGTTCCGCGACGCGCCCTTACGACCGCCGAGCTTTTGGTTCAAGTCTTTGATGGCGGCTCGGCGGAGCCTGGCAGCTACTGTAGGGGGTTGTCAGATGTTGTCATCGAATCTCTTTAATTGGCGGGCTTGTGCAAAGCAGCTCAAGGGCCAGGAATTTGGTAGTGATTGACTTGGTGAGCCATTTGGACCCATGATGTCACGTGCCATGATGTTTGAACAACCTATCTCCACAAGCTTGGCCCCACTGGCAGCTTAATCGAATCCTCTTTCTGTTGTCAAACTATTGTCGGCCTAAAGAGCTGCATTCAACACCAAATGAAAAAGCAAATGTGCACAGTAGCAAGAAGCTGCAAGGACGCTACTAGGGGCTCCTGGCATCGCTACTAGGAGCATTCTTACATATTCTTACTACTAGTATACAACCAGAAGCTACTATTGTAAAGGGGCGTAGGTGTCACTTGTGAGACTCACCCGTGCCAGGCAACGACGGTATTCTTTGCAGGGCAGATTCTGATTCAGATGCTGGTGATAGGCCCAGCGAGGCGCAAAGAAGGGGGCCAGGGCTGAAAGATCTGTGCTGGGTCGATTGGAAAGAATTAAGTCTGACAGGATCCGGAATGTTTTTTGGGCTTGCTTCTTTTTTTGGAAAGGCAGATGGTACCAAACTGAGTTGTAGAATTGGCTTCTTACGCCACTGATAGACAAGGCGCTTTACGACTGTTTGCCTGACGCGAGTGCTTGCCTTTTGTGTGTGGGCGACTAGCATGCTTGAGTACAGTAATACAATCATATTCAGACACTCCTGCAACACGTGGGCCGCACCCTCGCCTCACATTACGCGAGTGCATCCACATTGGTTGTAAACCAGGACTGCCAACAAGTGAAGATGCTTCTTTGTTTTGCTTCCGAGCTTTGCAAGCATGACAGGTTCTGGAACCGCTTGCCCTACCGGCACCGGTTTGATGGGTTGACTATTTCAGTTCTTTTGACGATGCAGCTGGCAGCTATTTTTTGCGACCATGCGCCAGACTGGCTGGTCCGAACCGCTACTTGGCAGAATCGCCGCAGATGGGGGCTTCTTTGCCCTTGATTCACTTGATCATTCTTGATCAGAATATTGCAACCGGGCTTTTTGGCACATATTTTTAAGGTCCCGGTTCCTTCCGATCTACATGTGACACCAATTCTTGAGCAGAGAGTGTGTGTCAAGCTCCCAGGTCTTGGTGATACACATCGCCCGTGCCATATGCCTCATGTGGTACATCGAACCATTTCGATATTTAACGGCGCTCCTGGCACGCCTGCTGCCCGTGTACTACCGGTTGGGGCTCCTGCTGTTGATGGTGCTTCTTGCCGAAAGAGTTTTGACATATCATTTCCAGATCACGAGTTTTGACATGTAGCAAGGGCATTACTACTAATTAGTAGCAAGGGCATCGCTAGTAGCAAGGGCATCGCTACTAGGAACAAGGGCAAGCTACCAGTGTGCCTCGTTGATTGAGGTTTTACATTTTCACCTCAATTGGAGACTCTCAGCTGAAAGTTCCTGCCTGCTCAGTGGTTCAACCAACGCACTGAACTTCAGCATCGGCCAGGTCTGAATGAAGTAAGATCTGTCCAGTGACTACCTCAAACCGGCTCCTATCATGTCCCGCTCATCTCTACCACCAAGTCGAATCCTCACTCCGGATCCGTAGAGGTGAGCCGGTAAGCCACTTGAATCGTGTCACTCCGTACTCCTCTTCGTTGGACACTGTTTGGCCCAGAAGTATCGTAGCATCTTCCGGGACTGAGGAGCAACTGTTTGGAGGGCGCATGCTGCCTGCGCAACTGAAGGGCAGTGGCTATGCTGAAGACCAGTAGCATGGCAGCCCAAGGTTTGTTTTGGTGGTGGTGCAGGAATTGCAGATGAACATGTTAGTGTTTGAGCTGCGGGGTGTAATCCCATGTAATCCCTTTGAGTTCGAGATCGCGCATTTAAAGCCAAGCTTCTGGAGCCAAAGATTTGCTGTGACGCGACTCGTGCGTTGACCAATGGCTCTCGATTCTCAGTCATCCCGAAACCATGGCGGATGTTGTCTAGGTATTGGCCTTTGAACTTCGACGACTTCCCTTCAGGCTGGGATGGATCGATTTGAAGAAAGATAGTCTGTAACCATATTAGGATTTTCGATGATGTTCGATGATTTTTGTTTTGGAGCTTGAATTAAAACATTTGAAGAATGGAGAAGAGATAAACAGATAATACAGAAGGTTAAGTTTTCTGAAAATTCTAGGAACCAAATAAATAGTGCGATCCTGCGTCCATACTAGTAGCTTAAGTAAGGTACTAGCTACCTCTCCCTTAAAAAGCATTGCCCGGCGTTTTTTCCTGCAGAATGACTCAGACTGACTCTTTCATGGCATTTCCTGCCAGGCCTAGTCACTCTCTTCAGCGTCATGGTGGTCAACAATTGGTTCGTTCTCGCGGGAGGCTTTATGCAGGTCACCACACCTTATGCAAGCATTTTCTTCGTCTCATTCTTTGTGACTTGGCAGTTGATGCAGTTGGTTTGATCCAAAAAGGGCCGAGCCTCAGATGTTTGGCTAGGTTGGTGCCCTGTATTGAGTGGTTGTCTTTTGGGCCTGTGGTACTTTGAGAAGATACCTTTGATTGTTGTAGACTCCATGTCTCCTTGAGCCTTGAGCTGTGGACAAGTTCTTGACCGGCCCAAGCAGAAGTTTGGTGCCGTCGAGGGCGAAGTGCATTTGCTTCCCACAATGGTGTCCATGCAAACTTGTTACTACTAGTAAGGCACTTGTTACTAGAAGCGATGCTTGCGTTCAATCATGTTCAAAGTAGTTTGCCACCTGCTTACCAGAACACCCAACACTATATGTTCTGCTTACCCTCGTTGCAAAAACCGTCGCCAGTCCAGGGTCCAGGGTGCAGCAACCCGCCATTGAACCCATATGGCAGATATGTCGAAAGGACCCAATCGCTGTGCGTGGCACCCAACAATCATCGAGGTGATCGTAAACCTTGTTGTTCTCAACATCCTCATCGCGCTTATCATTGATACCTCCGCAGTGGTGCGGGAGGAGATTGAGGAGAAGCAGCTGAGCTTCACTCGATAGCTCCATAATGCTCATGTTTGGTCAAGCGTCATGACCACCTCTCAGACCAATGGAATTGCTCCTATAGATTCTGTAGATGATTCATCTGTTTTGGAACCAGCTTCAACTTTGCAGGAGAGGGTTGGTGGTTTGGACGATGATGATGAGGAGCATATGGAATACTCAGCAGGCCATGCACCTGCTGGCATGTTTGAAGGTCATGACAATATATTGAACAACTCCATATGCACCGGGAAAAGCTTAACTTAAAACATCATCATGTGATACGTTACGGTGACTGAATCAATTCTAGATTCTACACTGAGAAATGGAGCTAGATACTGGCCGGAGTATTGAAACACTTTGGTAAACAAAGTCGGAAAATCCTCGGGGGGATGTTGGACGCGATGATGGAATGTTTCAAGACCTGGAAGATAGCTAGGTGTTGGCCAAGTGGCATATTCCGTCTCAGCATCTCCTCCATGAACCAATTTCCATCCTTACTTGGGTTTGTTCCATGTTATACAATTAGTTGCCAAAACTGTATGCCGCACAGTTCTCAAAACGCCGGTGCTTTCCCGTGTGCCACGTTGCCATGAGCATCAACTTTGAGAGCCGTGTTCCATACCTTTGGCACCATTTGACACCAAACATGCTCTTGCTCTTCCTGTGGCAACGTGAGGCCGGGAAACCTTGCTTGAGCGCTTGCTGCTGAACGAGGAGGGCCCACTTCCGTTCTGCATTCTGGAGCGAGGTCGATTTGTCGACACATTTGATGGGATGAATTGGATGAATGCATGATTTCAGGACCAGCGGTCGGCATCCCTGAACGTCATCCAAAAAGGACTGGTACAATGTTCACACCTTCATTCTTGCGGCCTTCCGCAACAGATAAATATCCAAAAATATAGACGCTGCTACTAGTAGTAATGCCTTTGCTACTAGTAGCGATGTCCTTGTTACTGGTAATGCCAGGAAGGTTCGATAGCCAGCGCACACAGATTGACAAGTGTGGGGATTTGACCTTTTGTCCTTGCGGAGGACCGTCGTACAATGCCTATAACAACCTGGGTGAGGAGAGCTCATCTGAGGGAAGTAGCCAGGACAGCCAAGAGAGCTGATAGGCCAAAGATGGCCAAAGCATGCCAAAGCAATGTATCAAGCCTTCAAATTCATTTTTGATAGTTTTTGTGTGTTGAAGGCTTGAGCCTATGGGGTTCCAAAGCTGAGATCCCAAATCCAGAGACTGAAGATGACTTCAAAGACTTGGACAACTAAGATGCGTAAGATGAGTTCCTTGGATAGATGTGCTTCAATGTCCAAGTTAATAAAGTTAATGGCCTCCAACCTAAGAGCGATGGCCTCCAACCTAATGGCGATGGCCCCCAACCCAATAGCAATTGTGGTCCACTTTTCTTTTAGAAAATTCAATATTGGTCTTTTGTTTAGATGCACACTGTTGGGGCTCCACACGAGTCGGAGGCTTGCACTCACACGGTACGGGACTTGTCGTTCTATGAGCGTCCATTTAATCCAATTGCGGCCTGGGAGCAGAGAGGCGAATCTTCACACTGCATCCCTAGCCGAATAACAAGGTTAGACACCGAACACAAGTTAAGAAGGCCTTCAGTCTCTGACAAAGCAACCAAGTGATGGATTTCGTCAGTTGGCACAGTCCTCCTTGGAAACTTGTACCATGTCCTTTGTACAGTTTCTAGGCTTTACAAGCTCTGGGTTGCTCGCTCGCCAGAAGCCTCACCATCCACAAACCATTTGTTGTCCTGCGACTACTTGTTGTACATGATAGCATCGAATCATAAGGTGTTTTGCCCATCAGGGGGTAGAAGCGAAGTCGACATTTGCGCCGGGTGATTGGAGCGCACCAAGTTCTTCATCCATCAAAAGAGTTGTGTTTTCACATACTTGTACTTAACATAGCCGCGGATTATACACTTGTACTCCTTGGCTTAGGGCAACCTAGCTTTTCAAGACCATGCCAATGCTGCGGACCGTGGAATCAGAGCTTAAAAGCTATGAGTTATCCTTCCATTTGCAGGGTTGAGTGGAGCGAGTCAAAATTCGGACAACAATTGTGGAATGGATTCCAGCCAGATTCATCCAATAGCATGTTCTCAGCAATCAGTTTTCTACACTCAAGTGGGTCTCGAACTGATACTTCATCATCCCAACTTCATCCATTATTAATTAAAATTGTTTACAGAAGTGTTACTTTCTCCAAAGGCAGCTCATAGAAGCCGCAGAGCCGCATCGAAATTTGCGACATTGGACTTAGGTTCTGATTCCTTCATGTCACGAGGTGCTTTTCATGTCGTTTTGATGGCGCCGGGCCTTTGCCATTTTTCAGTTCACCCTCTCCGCTCCGCGATCATGCGCGGCATGTGCCTCGTTTGGACGTGGAAAGATCAAATCTGATTGTTTCCCATTCAGAAATGCATGGCATTTCAGGAGCATAATCGAGCATATACATGCATATACGATGTGGTGTTCATTTTCTAGCTTTATATAAAGGTAAAGACATGCCACCACTAGGACCCAACAGGTATATTGTAGATTAACTTAGAACATTTGTAGCACATTGTAGAACCATGAGAAGTAGAACGGCACACTGTCGTACTACACTGGCCAGACAACAGTTGCGCTTCTTGAAGCACAAACTCATGTCAACCCTTACCCCCTAGAATCCGGCCATGTGGGCGGTCATTTTTCACACCGGGAAGCTTTTTATTAATATAAGTTTAAAACGGTGTGATAATTGACCGCACCACACCTGCCATAAAAATTGGACTTGGTAATTCGATCCGCAGCTGACCCTACAGCGTTGTTTGAACATGGCTAACAAGCATAAACTTTATTGCCTGAAGTATATCATTTAGTCCATTTGGTTCTTTGCAAGCATTTGTTTTAGCCACCGTTAGTGCACCCACCAATAATACATCCCTGCAGCCGATATGTCAGGCTTGGCATGGAGACGCTCTCAGAAGTACCTGAGCATCTCAGCTGTGACGACTCCATGCCGGTTTGCTTGAACTAGTTGGTCTAAGTCATCAGATAAGCGTCCACTGACGGAGTTAGTGCTCACTCTCACCGTTTTTCAGCGTGGGGCCCGCGGCCAACTCCAGTCCGACTACTATAGTAGCAGGCAATAGACACCTCAGACACCATGCAAGGGTTTTTCGCCAAGTCGCGTGTTCATGGTGCCGAGGTGGGATCTGGAGCGTTGGGAGAGGGATGAGAAGAGGCTGCCCGTGGCCCGGAGTGGGTCCATAACCTGTATAGCTTAGGCTTAGGCTTGGACCTCCTAAACAGGGAAACAATGGGGAACATATCAAGCAACAAGGTTCCTTCATTGGATTGTCTTGGATACTGACAGTGAGGGCAACTTTCGTTCTGTGGCCCTGGTAGCCCTAATTACTCATGATGTAGGTTCTTACTGCAACTGGCTCCAATGGAATGCGAATGTTCACAACTGCTTAGACATGTGAGTTTGTGCCTTCTCCCTTCTCCCTTCCCCATGAGTTTCATGGAACTCCAATGTCACCAGGCCTTTTGGAGAGGAGTCCGGAAGCGACTGGCGAACGAACGCATTCTGCGAAACGCAGCCGACGCCTCCGGCGCATCCCACGTCAGGGCTTCCAGCTTACTGCGGCGAAGTGCCCTGGCCGCACTGGGCGCTGGCATGGCCTTCGGCTTGGCGCTGGCTGCGTGGATGACGCCCAAGGAGGCTTGGGTTGAGGGATATGAGGAGGCTGGTGGGGCTTAGTAGATGGCAGGAAAGCTGGTAAGACTACACGGGATCAAGCTGAAATGGAGAAGCACCGCAGCGGCGCGGTGTTCGCTCTCGGCTCTCCACGATGCTCGCTAAATGAATCTATATACAGCATCTACAGCAATTGAGGTGGTGAGCGGAAAACTGGGCCTTGTTTTCTTCACACTGATTACTGACTGTGCTTGCTTTGCAGGGCTTGGATTTGCGCCTTTTAGCGGCAGACCCCGCTTTGCCGGAAGGCTGCTTCAAGTGCCCTGCCCAAGGGCCAGGCTGAACAAGAATAGGATTTGCAGTGGAAGGGTGTCGGGCAGTGGAGCATTGTACGTACAATATCGTACAATACTATCGTTGTGCAGACTCTCCCCGGAGAAAGCACCGAGATGCATTTGGACTTGTTTGATTCTGTTTGACGTATATACGGCAAGAAGCCCAGGTCCTGTACCAAACCCTGACGCATTCATGTGCTTTTGCAACTCTCCCCTACCCAGCGAAACCTCAAAGGCAGCTGACTATCCTGTGCCCTAGGCATGGCGTTTTGGTGCACCCGCCGAAGAATGTGGGAAGTTCCAAGACATACGAGGCGTGGACTGGTGTACAAAAAGCGGGTTGGACCGAGCTCCTCAATCATGACCGTGGCTTCAAGTTCGCTTTAATTATACCTTTCAGCCAAGAAGCTGAAGAGTCAGAATGCTTGTGGCTTGTTCATTTTGACCTTGTGTTTGTTGGGTTGGCTGTCAACAAATCCCATGCTTCTTTGTTGGCACAAATGTGCTGCGGCGAGGCGAGCCCTCGAGATTGTCAGCTGCGGTGCGCGAGTAGCATGCCCTGCTTTTAGCTTAGCATGCATACTTTGGCACGGCCTTTCAGAAGTTTGGGTTCAGATTCACATGATGGGATTATATCATAGCAACACTGTGCAATAACATTGAATTGTGCGTGATGATTCGCAATGACGGTTCACTATGATTCACTTGCCGTTCCAACATTCTTTGAGGTGCAGAGTTCAGCTGGTGGCCAGACGGAAGCTGCATTCTGTCCGATCAGAAGTCCATTGTCAGGGTGAGATGCGCAGGGATGGGCGGCGACGGGTGGCACACAAAGGACATCAAAGGATAATATGTTTCTGGTGATGTGGCAGAAATCAGTGAAAGTGCAGATGCAAGCAGCCTGCAGGAGGTTTCAAGATGCTTTCATGACATGTTGGCACGCAGGCTTCGCTTTGCATGAGTAACAT